GGCTTATGCATACTCATAAACTTTTACCTAGTTTAGTTATAAGCCTTTTATCTTATGTTCACCCAGAGGCGCCTGGGTGGCTCAGTCAGTTAAGTATCCGACTTTGGCTCAGGTCATTATCTCATGGTTTGTGGAATTGAGCCCTGCATCAGGCTCTGTGCTGACAGCTCAGAGCCTGGAGCCTGCTTCAGATTCTGTGTCTCCCTCTGTCTCTGCCCCTCCCCTGCTCACTCTCTCTCTCTCTCTCAAAAATAAACATTAAAAAAAATTTTTTTAAACATTCAGTGATTCTTCCCTTAAAAATTAAAACCTATTGGGGTGCCTGGGTGGCTCAGTTGGTTAAGCATCTGATTTCCACTCAGGTCATGATCTCACAGTTTGTGAGTTCGAGCCTCTCATCAGGCTCTGTGCTGACAGCTCGGAGCCTGGAGCCTGCTTCAGATTCTGTCTCTCTCTCTCTGCCCCCCCCCCCCCCACTCATAATCTGTCTCTGTCCCTCTCTCTCAAAAATAAATAAACATTAAAAAAAATTGTTAATCTCTTATGTTTTGTTCCCTCCCTCTTTTTATATTTTTGCTTCACTTCCCTTATGTTCATCTGTTTGGTATAATAGATTGCATTCTATCACTCCTTTATCAAAAGAATCAATACTCCTAACTGTATCATCCAAATAAAAATTGAGTGTTTAGCAGCAGCTTTTATTTCTTATTTCATTTAATTTTATTAGCCCATAAAGTCTCCACAAAATAGATTAACCTTATTTTTTAATCTACAGGTAACGATATTAACAAGTGGATGAATTGTGCAAGACTGTACGGCATTTTAAAGTTCTAGCTGAAATTTACATACTATATATATAAAATATATGTGTATGAAGGCAGATTATGTGTTTAAATATATATTTTTTTTATTGTATGGTTATTGCTTCTTATAATCAGTTAGCTTTAGAACTTTAGTTTGAGAGACAGCCCTATCTGAAATTCACATATTCCAGTCAAGTATATCCCTAGCAACAAAATACTTAACTGTTATTATTCAGGATTAAATAAATGTTTTCCTACTCTTCTACTAGAGGTTTTAGGTACACGTATTAAATCTGCATTTCTATACAGAATGGAGATGGTAGTGATTATGAGTAGGTGGTTAAGTTCGCATAGTTCACAGACTTAGAATTTAAACCTGATCCAGAGAATAAGCGCCAGGTTTATTGTATGCTGTTGCTGTTTTCCTCAATAACTCCCTTTGTCACACATCAGAAGTGGAAGATAAATGGCCTGAGTGATATTGGGTTGGGGATTAGATCTGTAGAAGACAGCAGGAAAAGAGCTGAGGGAAATGTCCCGTTGTAGACTCTATTTGGAAAATAATATTAATCCGTAGACTAAACATGACTGGCCATATACCTTTGTCACAGCTCAACTCTAGAGGCATTTGTTGTTCCTACCTTTATAGGGAGACATTCTGATACTGTAGAATCAAAGTCCTTTAAAAGACCGTTAAATATTCAAATATTATATAGAGATAGAGGTGTAATTAAAAGAGAAGTAATTTTAGATCTACATTAAATCAATCTGTGTGCTTCTCTTTATTAGTCAGATGGAAAAAAAAGAACCCACTTTCTACTCTTTACATTGCGTTGATAAATTTTGATGTCATGAATTTTTAATGTCTCATCTAAGAATTTAATTATATAGACTGAGGTGTGAAACATTGTGTTAGGTATCTTTTCTCCTCAGACTGTCAAACAGGAAGAAAAGAAAAAATGATAGTTATTCAAATAAATTAAAAGGGGCCATTTATGTAACCATCTACTAAAAATGTCTACTAAGAATGTTTACAAATGTTCATAGATAGCATGGAATTTTACCAGCAATAAAAATCAATGAAAAGTTTCAGCACTCTTAAGTACAGATTTGTTCATAGAGATAGCACAATGTTCAGTAAAGAAGAATGTATTATTATCTAAAGGGCATTATTAAATTATCTTCTCTTACATGGGGATTTTAATATAATTCAGGGGAACTCAGGAAAATAAGTTATGATGGATTTAGTCCACATAATCAGAATTATGAAATCTGTTTTGTGTCTTCACATACAAATATATCTTCCATAACATTCTTCTAACTAAGCCAACATACAGATATGTTAATGCATCAGAATGAATTCGTTTTTCAGGAAGACAGTGTATAATCACCTTGAGAGTGCAGTATGAATTGCAGTTAAGCAAGGTGTGCTTCCAGTTACATTCACAAAGCTGTTGAGGATGTGCTTATCTGGAGATATCTAAGGTTCATTGTTATTGCTGCACTTGGTATAGATGTCTGTCCTGAGGATATTTAGTATACCCTTTCAGTATCTAACAGTTCACTCATTTCACATCAAATTGATCCCTTTCTTTAACCTATTAGGAATTTGGTAACTGCTTAAATTTAGTAATTAAATCAGAAGTCAATGTCTAATAGCGATGGTAGGTCATTGGCTATATCAGAATTCTCTTTTTCAAGTATTGAGGGAAGCAGGAAGATAGTTGTGGAAGAAAAGTGCTCAGAGGAGCAGAGGTTTTATTCATAAGCAGTCTGCTATGTGTGCACCTGCAAACAACTAAAGGGATAAAGTGCTTGCATTCATATTCTCCCCGCCCCACCCTGTGTGTGTGTGCATGTGTCTGTTTGTGTAGTTTGGCATAGGAACTGTTGATAGTTTTGCTTCTTGAGTCTTTTTTGCAAAGGATAATAACCAAAGCAACAAAGCGTTTTTATCAGGTAACGGTTTTGCTAATTCTCGGAGAATATAATTTATCCTGGTGGGAATTGTGGAGAATTAGAGGTCCTGTGACATTTCCTGATCCACAATACTTTGATGTTGTGATGCACATACTTTACATCAGGAATTCTTTCTATTCTGTATATGATCATTTTTGGATCGTTTTCAATGCAGAAGCTTCAAATTCCTGACCATGTGAGACTTCCATGGCATTTTGCATAGGATTTTTAGGTTGTAAGAATCACTGGCTGCATTAAAATCAGTTTATTGTGACTACAGAGTTCCTACTTTTCTCTTCTAATTTTAGTGAGAATTCACATTTTTTTGTTATTGTTCATCACAGGTAAGAGATATAAAAAGGAATCATGAAATTGCTAAAAAGAAGAAAATGTTCTTAAAATTGTCAGGTAAAATTATGGGTAAATGTATTGACTTTTTTTTAGTTACTTGGCACCCTTGAGAGAAAGAGGCAAAGAATTAGCAGTTTAGCAATGTCATGACAATATGCAGGCATATCTGAGGTATGGTCTAGAAGATTTTGTGTAGACACTCAAATTTATCTTTAAAAAGTCTTTACAGGGGCAGCTGGGTAGCTCAGTCAGTCATGTCCGACTTCGGCTCAGGTCATGATTTCGCGATTCATGAGTTTGAGCCCCACATCGGGCTCTGTGCTGACAGCTCGGAGCCTGGAGCCTGCTTTGGATTCTGTGTCTCCCTCTCTCTCTCTGCCCCTCCCCTGCTCACACTCTGTCTCTCTCTCAAAAATAAATAAACATTAAAATTTTTTTTTTAAAAAAAGTATTTACAACGGGAACTGTAACTTCCCACTCCCTTAAGTGTAGTCTGTGCACACTGACTTCCTTGCAGAGAGTACAGCATGGACAGGGAGAGAAAAAGGGAGTAACCTTACAGCGAAGAAAATTTGACAGACAGTACCGTAGCCAGGTAATCAAGGTCAGCATCAACAGTGAGAACTCATATTGATAGTATGGACCCTTGATATGATGCTGTTAAAATCTTTGTTAACCTTCGTGGTCTTCCTTTAAAATTCCCATAACTTTAGTATAATCATGAGAAAAACACCATACAAACCCCAATTTTAGTTAATTAGCAAAAGCCTTACACAATGTACTTAAGTGTGGATATGAACAAAAATCTATCATCTCCTGTCCGATAAAGGCAGAATGGCTGAATCCTTCTTACTGTTGCTGTTCGAATTAAAACATCAAGTATTGACATTAACTGCTCTTATAAAAATGAGTGATGTTAGAGGGAAAATGGGTTAACAACAGCTTAAAACTCTAAAAATAACAACATTAGGAAACAGATGATTATCAAAGCATAGGAGGTATAAAAATCGAGCCTAGAATCCAAAAAGCTAGTAGCTTAGCCTTGAAAAGGAAACTGCCTGATATTTCATAACAATATTGTTTCCCTTGGTAAAGCGGTTTGATTAATTAGTTTGATTTTTATACCAAATTGTAATCAGGTTATGTCACATTAAAAGAAAAATCCCAAAATATGTACATATGTACAAATCAACGTACTTGCTCCTGGCTTTTTGATGCCATTTTATCCACCAGACAAAGTAGGAAACCTGTCATAGCAAAGAAAAACTTGAGGCTTTCTTTTCCATGTGAAGTCCTATGGGAGAAAACAATTGGGCTGTTTTTATTTTAAAATAAAAATAAAAATATAATAATAAAAAAATAAAAAATATTTTATTTTAAATATGCATTTTTATTTTTGAAACCCTGCTTTATTTAATTGGTTTGTAGGAAAGTAGACTATGCACTGGATACATAATTTACATGGAACAAAATGACTTCTAAATTCTAGAATGTACTTTAAATCAAAGATTTAAGAAAATTCCCTAGTACAGAAACCAAGAGCAACATGCATCACTGCATTGTGTATTTCTGGTTTCCTCATAAACTGTGGATGGGCTTCTGTGGGAGATGTTTGCATTTGATTGGTTTTAAACTATGCTTTTGCTCTTCTTTTTTCCTAGACCTTTTCTGTAATATGTAGGAGAAACTTACCCATTTATTCTTTACATAATATTGCCCTTGAGGGACAATGTGAGCTCTTTCCATCTATTAATCAGAGTAAACGGAGTTTATTTTAACAGATATTCAATGGCAGACACCTTCTCAAAACCAAAGGTCTTCATTAAGAACTGAAAGGCATACACTTTATGCATCAAATCACATCGTCTTTGTCCTTCTCTATTCTAGTGCACTGACAGGCAGAATTCACCAGTCACATCACCAGGATCGTCTCCCCTTGCACAGAGAAGAAAGCCCCACGCAGATCCTCTGCAGATCCCGCATCTAAGCCTGCCACCCGTGCCTCCTCGCCTGGACCTAATTCAGAAAGGCATAGTTCGGTCTCCCTGCGGCAGCCCCACTGGTTCACCAAAGGTAAACTCATTTTATTAGAAACACAGAAGATTTAAGTGACAATTACTGATTACTCAGGTTCCTTTGAATTCCATCACTTGTATTTCTCGTGCTCTCAATTGTTGATGAAGGACTTTGATGGGTCCCTCATTTTGTTTGTGGTGAGCCCACTATCCTCTTTTTCCTCTATTACTATAAAAAGTTGCACAATTATTCAGAGCGTATGTCCCTAATACCTCCCTGATTTGTAAAAATGCGCAGAAGAATAAATATAGTTATTCTATAAAATGGATTTTAAGAGTCATTATATGTATTAAAATAAATTGCATGCTCTTATCAAATGGTATTTTATACTCATTTTCATAGTGTCGTGACAAGAAAAATGTGACGGGAGTGTATTTGCAGAAGGGCTTAAAGATGTGATAAATTATCACCCATGTTTCAAGGTGACTCAGAAGAGGAAATTATATGTATAGTACTTTTTAATGCCTGAAGGAGTTACTTACAAAGAATTACAGTATCTGCAAAGTAATTATATTACTCTCTAATATTAAAGATATAATTCTAACTATGTTAGGTAAATCTAAGCCCACAGTTTATTTTAGTTTTGTGGGATTTTTATCTCCAAATTTGATTAGAACATATTTGCTTTATCAAATATAAGATTCAAAAACTTAATTCCATTTGGTAATCTGCTTCAGAGTCTAAAATGAGTCAGAAGCACAATATTTTAGTAGTATTTGATCTTGGTTACAGTTAAGATCAGATTAAGATTTTTAGGTTTTAAGATCAGATTAAGACTTTTTAGGATGGTATTTAGTCAGAATTTTGTAAACATAGAATTATGTAAGCACATTCCCTTTTTCTGTAATCTTTTCTAGCCATAAAAACATATCATTCATCAGATGAACCATGTAAATAAAAATAAAGCCATAAAAGGCACATAGATTCATTTCAAGTACATATATATTCATATTTCCGTAAAAGAATTAGACTGATTTTTTTCCTATTTAAGGATCCATAAAAATGCAAATTCCATAAGTAATGCTGCTCTGATATTTGTGATTTTCCTCTATTCCCATAATAACTGGTAAAAGACAAGATCAGAGCAAATTTTCCCCTTAGCAGTTGCTTTATGTGCAGTGGCAAACACAAAAACAGTGTTTTCTTGCTGTGGCAAAACCGATACTTTCAGTCTTTCAGAGATGTTAGAAATCAAGTTGCTCTTTCAAAAAGTTAAACAACAACAACTTTGATTTTTTTTATGTCCCCTAAATTGTGTAAAGGTGCAAATAAGTTAATGAATAAATATTATTTTACTCTCAACCAGTCAAAACCCTCATACAATTTTAATATCCTGCTACTTTTTCCTGTATAGTGTTTATAGTCATTAACATTCAAGTTTATGTACTCATTTTCTACAAAAAAAAGTTCTAATGGGATATATTTACATAAGATTTTCATTAATTTTTAAAAATCTCATTAATTGATGATAAAAAGAAACATTAAAAGATGACACAGGGGGAAGTTCGAACGGAAGTCTGGTAAAGAGCTGGAGGAGAGCAAACGAAGAGGGAATGGACTCTGAAACAAGGGCAGCGTTGTACCTTACGCGCAGCAGCAGGAGTGTCTCGAAGGTCGTTGTCCAGGAGCTGGGGAGAGGGTTGAGTATGCTATACTCCCGTTTCGTCAAGGATTTACATAAGCCTACAGGAGCCACTTTCAGAGAAAATAGCAGCTCTTAGTTCATTAGTTGAGGAGCTGAACTTCATCACCCACCTTGATGGCACAGCCCAGGGGGTCGACAAGAGAAGACTACACAGCAGTTCTCTGAAAGTGAAGCTACTGATATGTCTTCTGCTATATAATCAGCTTATTTTTCAGCTTATTTCTCTTACTAGGCCTTTCCCTATGACTTAGCAGTTAGTTGATCATTAAAGGCACTGTAAAGAAAACATGTCCCTGTAAAAGGTTACCAAAAGGGTAGATATTAAGAAAGCAGTCACACTTCAATTTCTCTAAAGCATAGGCTCTACCTGTCTCAGCTGTAACAAATGAAACCAGCAATATAGAAAACAGAATTAACCCTCTAGCTTGTAAGGCATAGAAATAGTAAGATTGAAGATTAACTCTAAAAAATAAAAGAGCAGAAACGCAAGAGAATAACCAGAAAGTTTCCTCATGGATGAATTCCCTGAAAAACATTCTGAGAATAAAAACAAAAGCTTGATGCAAACATAGAGGAAGTAGAAAGCATATAAAGCTTGCTGAAGAATCAATAAACTGTCCAGACTGGTTCAAAAAAAAAAAAAGATGACACAGGAATCTAATAAAACTCCATTATGGCTTAGAAAACAAAGGCAATAATAGATGAGTCTGGAAATCATGTTTCAGTGCATTGTACAACTTCTAATTTATTTATTCTTCTATTGCATCTCTTCAGTCTTCTCCTTGCATGGTGAGAAAACAAGATAAACCACTCCCCGCACCTCCTCCTCCCTTACGAGATCCTCCTCCGCCTCCGCCTGAGAGACCTCCCCCAATCCCACCTGACAATAGACTGAGTCGTCACTTCCATCATGCGGAAAGTGTGCCTTCTAGAGACCAGCCAATGCCTCTTGAAGCCTGGTGCCCTCGGGATGTGTTTGGGACTAACCAGTCGGTGGGATGTCGACTCTTAGGGGATGGCTCTCCAAAGCCTGGAATCACAGCAAGTTCAAATGTGAATGGAAGACACAGTAGAGTGGGCTCTGACCCCGTGCTTATGCGGAAGCACAGACGCCATGATTTGCCTTTAGAAGGAGCCAAGGTGAGAAATAAGCAAAGCAGAAGCTAACTAGTCTGCTCAAACACTTCAGATAAGAGGTAGTATGAAAGGTTGGGCAATGGTTTTTTTGTTTTTTGGGGTTTTTTTTGTTTTTTTTGTTTTTTTTGTTTTTTTTTGCCTTCCCTGAAGGTTTTTAATTATCTCCAAGTTATAAATAATCAGAAGCTCATTAAAACTTGAACTTAAAAGAAGTCAGGAAGAAGGTTCTAAGTAAGTATTTTAATGTAAAGAGACTAGACACTTTGCCAAAGATTTATTTCACCTTTCCTTATTTCATCTGCCAAAACTTTTTCCTGTTCACAAGTTGTTGGTGAAGAATCAGCACTATTGTTTTGTTTTGTTTTTTAAGCTGTCTAGTTCTATCTAATCTGGAAAACAGTTGAATAATCGTAGCATATCATAAATCAGTCATTGCCAAGGACAGACACCTCATGCATCCAGGTAAAATGAACTTCTCTCATACATAAAAACACTACTTCCAGTCACTCTTACAAAGCAAGCTCTTGATCCATAAAACTGAAAGACTGTCACATGTATTGAGCTCTAACTTAAAAGATATCACCACTATCATTTATATCCAGGAAAGAATTTAAGTGTACAGGAAACCAAAGAGGCAGCAGCAGAGTTTAGAATTCTTGGTAAGCCCTTGGCAGAATTGTAATATAATAGTTTCTGGTGTTTGCCTCCATGATACTTTTGACTCTGAGAGCAGATGCTTGCCATATTCCTTTAGCTGAAGGAGGCTTTGCCTCTCTTGAAGACTAATATTAAAGTAATTCCTCTCTATTGAGCTTTATTAGGACAGTAATCAGTTCCTTCAAAATAATGGTTTACAGTTAGTGAGTTAACCATACATTCAAGAGAAAACAGTGTGAAGTATGACACACATTCAACTTTGTATGTGTGTACATATGCATACGCATGCACACCTGCTCATGTGTCAAGGGTAAGTGATAATGAAAACTTTGTATACTAATATTTAACCTCAGTGATATTCTAGGGTAGCCAGGATAGGAAGAGTCCGATGTCTAGTTTGGTATTCAGAAGACAGGGGAAGAGTGGTGGGGGGTTGCCATGACTCTTTGCCAGTGACTCACCTTGGTGAGTTGAGTCTCTCATCTGTTCTAAATATGAAGATCTCTAAGAGTTTCACTGTAATCCAGACATGTACATGGAAGAAAAAATACTTATAAAAGCATTTTTGGTAATGTTCTCTGAAAAGGGAACGCTTATCATCCTCAAATGTTTATTTCCACAACCTGGAATCTGATTGGAGTGACCTGCTGGGGTTTTTTTTTTCTTTTTCATAATTCCTTTTTTTCTTTCAGCCTTTATTACTTTTGATTCATACATGATCATATTTGTCTTGAGGAGAGTGTTGGAACAGGCTCTGACATGAATTGACTAGTTATATCTCAGCAACATATTATAATTTATTTCTTGAATGAATTGTGGAGATATTTACAAGAACTATCTTAGCCAGTTCATTGAAGACCTCTTATTTCAGGGTTATTTTACATAATATGTTACATAGTTTCAGCACTAATATAAACCTGCCCCTTGTTTTTTTAATATAGTTTATTGTCAAGTTGGTTTCCATATAACATCCAGTGCTCATCTCCACAAGTGCCCTCCTCCATGGCCATCATTCCCCTGCCCCCCTCCCCCACCCCCATCAGCCCTCAGTTTGTTCTTAGCATTCAAGAGGCTCTCATGGTTTGCCTCCCTCTCCCCAACTATTTTCCCCCGTCCCGTCCTCTGTAGTCCTCTGTTAAGTTTCTCCTGTTCCACATATGAATGAAAACATATGGTATCTGTCTTTCTCTGCCTGGCTTAGTACACTTAGCATAACACCCTCAAATTCCATCCACATTGCTACACATGGCCAGATTTCGTTCTTTCTCATTGCCATATAGTATTCCACTGTATAGATAAACCACATCTTCATGATCCATTTGTCAGCTGATGAACATTTAGGCTCTTTCCATGATTTGGCTGTTGTGGAGAGTGCTGCTGTGAACATTGGGGAACATGTGCCCCGGTGCATCAGCACTCCTGTGTCCCTTGTAAACCTGCCCCTCTAAGCCCTAGAACACTGGATGTGAATTTTGTATGGAAGGTTATACTGTTTTAAATTGAGGTTATAATTTCTTAGGCTGTAGGTATGAAACATACAGGTATGAAATTTTTTTTTCTTAAATAGTTTGTTGTCAAGTTGGTTTCCATATAACACCCAGTGCTCATCCCCACAAGTGCCCTCCTCCATGCACATCTCCCCCCTCCCCCCCAACCCATCAGTCCTCAGTTTGTTCTCAGCATTCAAGAGTCTTTCATGGTTTGCCTCTCTCCCTCTCCCCCACTGTTTCCCCCCTTCTTCTCACCCTTGGTCCTCTGTTAAGTTCCTCCTAATCCTCCTATATGTGCAATCATATGGTATTTGTCTTTCTCTGCCTAACTTATTTAGCTCAGCATAACACCCTCAAGGTCCATCCATGTTGTCACACATGGCCAGATTTCATTTTTTCTCATTGCCATGTAGTATTCCATCGTATAGATAAACCACATCTTCTTTATCTATTCATTAGTTAATGGACACTTAAGCTCTTTCCATTTTTTGGCTCTTGTTGAGAGTGCTGCTATGAACATTGGGGTACCTGTGCCCCTATGCATCAGCACTCCTATATCCCTTGGGTAAATTCCTAACAGTGCTATTGCTGGGTCATAGGGGAGTTCTATTGTTAATTTTTTGAGGAACCTCCACACTGTTTTCCAGAGGGGCTGCACCAGTTTACATTCCCACCAACAGTGTAAGAGGGTGCCCGTTTGTCCACATCCTCGCCAACACCTAGAGTCTCCTGATTTGTTCATTTTAGCCACTCTGACCAGTGTGAGGTGGTATCTCAGAGTAGTTTTGATTTGTATTTCCCTAATGATGAGTGATGTGGAGCATTGTTTCATGTGTCTGTTGGCCATCTGGATGTCCTCTTTGGAGAAGTGTCTGTTCCTGTCTTCTGCCCATTTCTTCACTGGATTATTTGTTTTCCCCGTGTGGAGTTTGGTGAGTTCCTTATAGATTTTGGATACTATCCCTTTATCTGATATGTCATTTGCAACTATCTTTTCCCATTCCATTGGTTGCCTGTTAGTTTTGTTGATTGTTTCCTTTGTCATGCTTTTTATCTTGATGAATCGCAATAGTTCATTTTTGCTCTTGATTCCCTTGCCTTTGGGAATGTGTCAAGTAAGAAATTGCTGCTTTTGAGGTCAAGGAGGTTGTTTCTTGCTTTCTCCTCTAGGGTTTTGATGGTTTCCTGTCTCACATTCAAGTCCTTTACCTATTTTGAGTTTATTTTTGTGTATGGTGTGAGAAAGTGATCTAGTTTCATTCTGCATGTTGCTGTCCATTTCTCCCAGTACCATCTGTTAAAGAGGCTTTCTTTTTTCTATTAGATACTCTTTCTTGCTTTGTCAAAGATTAGTTGGCCATACATTTGTGGGTCCAATTCTGAGTTCTCTACTCTATTCCATTGGTCTATGTGTCTGTTTTGTGCAAATACCATACTGTCTTGATGCTTACAGCTTTGTAGCAGAGGCTAAAGTTTGTGATTGTGATGCATTCCGTTTGGTTTTCTTCTTCAATATTACTTTGGCTTTCTGGGGTCTTTTGTGGTTCCATACAAATTTTAGGATAAGTTTTTATAGCTTTGAGAAGAATGCTGTTGCAATTTTGATTGGGATTGCATTCAGTGTGTAGATTGCTTTGGGTAGTAATGACACTTTAACAATATTTATTCTTCGGATCCATGAGCATGGAATGTTTTTCCATTTCTTTGTGTCTTCTTCAATTTCCTTCATAAATTTTCTATGGTTTTCATCATACAGATCTCCTATATCTTTGGTTAGGTTTATTCCTAGGTATTTTATGGTTTTTTGTGCAATTGTGAATGGGTTCAGTTTCTTGATTTCTCTTTCTGTTGCTTCATTATTGGTTTATAAAAATGCAACCGATTTTTGTACTTTGATTTTGTACCCTGTTACTTTGCTGAATTCTTGGATCAGTTCTAGTAGGCTTCTGGTGGAGTCTGTCAGGTTTTCTATGCAGAGTATCATGTTGTCTGTGAAAAGGGAAAGTTTGACTTCTTCTTTGCCAATTCTGATGCCTTTTCTTTCCTTCTGATGCCTTTTCTTTCCTTTTGGTGTCTGATGGCTGATGCTAGAACTTCCAGCACTATGTTAAACAACAGTGGTGAGAGTGGACATACTTGTCATGTCCCTGATTTCAGGGGGAAAGCTCTCAGTTTTTCCCCGTTGAGGATGATGTTAGATGAGCGCTTCTCATAGATGGCTTTTATGATGTAGCCAAGTAAGTTCCTTCTATCCCGACTTTCTCGGGGGTCTTTATTAAGAAGGGATGCTGTATTTTGTCAAATGCTTTTTCTGCATCTGTCAACAGGATCATATGGTTTTTATCTTTTCTTTTGTTAATGTGATATATCACATTGAATTACTAATATTGAACTAGCCCTGTAACCCAGGAATGAATTCCACTTGATCATGGTGGATAATTCTTTTTATGTGCTGTTGAATTCGATTTGCGAGTATCTTGTTGAGGATTTTTGAATCTGTATTCATCATCAAGGATATCTCTTTTTTTTGCCGGGTCTCTGTCTGGCTTGGGAATCAAAGTGATGCTGGCTTCATAGAATGAGTCTGGAAGCTTCCCTTCCATTTCTGTTTTTTGGAATAGCTTGAGAAGAATGGGTATTAACTCTGATTTAAATGTCTGGTAGAATTCCCCAGGGAAGCCACCTGGCCCAGGGCTCTTATTTCTTGTGAAGTTTTTGGTAATTGATTTAATTTCTTCACTAGTTATGCATCTGTTCAGATTTTCTATCTCTTCCCATGTCACTTTTGATAGTGAGTGTGTATTTAGGAATTTGTCCATTTCTTCTAAGTTGTCCAGTTTGTTGGCTATAATTTTT